TGCCTAGAAACTAGTTAACTAATCTATTGACTGATTGCATAGCTAAGTAACTTGGCAGCAAGTCATTGAATAATTACCTGATTACCTAATGAAGTAAGTAAGCAAGTTACTAATTAATACAAATATTCTGTTTGTGAATATTATCCATCGTCCTGTTTTTTATTTAAAATACAGCGTTTCGGTAACTGGATTCTGTCTCCTTCTTCAGGTAAAACTTACTTAGTTGGGTCCAATTGATAGAACTAGTCCCTATCGCCTGCACAACTGAGTGTGTTTTGCCTGAAGATGGAGACAGAATCCAGTTCCCGAAACGCTGCTTCTTAAATAAAAACAAGACGTTGGGTAATGTCCAGAAACATGATGTTTGTATTAAGGTACCATCGTCACAAACTTTTAGATCTTACGTAACTAACTAATTAGCGAGGCAATTAATTGCTCAATTAATTGACTGGAAAACTAGATGTTTATCTAACCGATTAAGTTGCTAGAACTAAATTACGGAGCACGTAAATCACTAACTAACTAATGTTTCATTCTGTTTCAATAAAATAAAAATATGAATTGACAGCACAGAGTGTGACATTGAACTTTTCATCGAAATGTGCATGCTGAAATCTCATGGACTGCACATTTTGTTAGTTGAAGAAATCTGCTTTTCACAGATCACTTGCCTTATCTGCACTGTTATAAGGTGCTTGAGTCCTAGTGTATTTGTGTTAGCTGCAGGTGGTAACATGCATGGGGCTAAGTACACAGAGACTTATATGCAAACATACGTACACACAGACGCGGGCTTTCGTGCACTTCATTCGGGAGAGAACTGGATCGAGTGGGATCCGTGTTTCTGTCATCCTGACATCTTTATTTCCCTCATAACCTCCAGCCGATTGCCAGAACTGTATGTGGGGGTTTCCCACTTGCTTGGCATATTTATGAAACATAATCTCTTACGTTTGAGGTAGAATATAAATTATAATTGTCGGAAGGTGGATGATGGAAGACATGGACGATTTATGAAACTGGTGGAGAAGTCCTTTGAAAGAGTTGAGGTTTTCACGGCGGTGACTATGAAGAATGGCGTCTTCTAGGATATGTAGATCTTGTGTCAACCGACGTTTCGGGGGAACGTATTGCCTCCATCTTCATGGTAGAAAAATCCTCGAGCGAGGATCCATTCTGCAGCCACCTGCTCACACTATCACATCGCACGCGGATTTTTCTACCCCGAAGATGGAGACGATAAGTTCCTCCGAAACGTCGATTCACACAAGATGTACACGGTGCCACAATCCAGAAGAATACATTCTTAAAGTCCTTTAAAATTCGGCATGGTATCATTTATTTTACCTTCAGTATTGTACCACCTTTTCCCCGTTCTTTTGTCCTTTAATACCTTTGCGTCATTCTCTCCTTTCTTCTTTAAACAATGAACTAATATATTTATCCTTCAGATGGCACAGTTTCAGACTTGTGTTAAGTACGAGTATGTGAAAAATACGCGCGCACACACACACACAAATAGTATGCTTCACACACCCATAAGCGTAGTCATAAACCGTCGAGAAAATATTGTGATCGTAAGAAAAATACCCATCCTGTGATTTTGACGGATTTACACATTTTCAGGCCCCCCTTCCCCGAAGAAAATAATGGCTTTGTAATACCGTTTGTTGATCTGTGTGTAATGATCAGGGCCCGAATTTTGATGACATGTCATCTTTTTCTACTTGTATCTTATGCGATGCTCTTAAATATATAAATCTCGGATATGAGCTGCTGGTTACAGAAATGTAAATTTTATAGGTATTTTTAGGTTTAAGGTAATTTTTTCATTATTGGTAAATTTTTGGACTTTTAAGGGTATTTCTTGTCATTTTTGGCCATTAAGGAATTTTTCTTCATATTTTTTCTGAAATGTGAATAACATGGAAGCGAAGTGTTCTTTCTTTTCTCCTTTAGGTCATTTTTCTGGATTTTTTCGGTCATTTTATAGGTCATTTTTTTTAAATATTTTCAGGTCATCAAAATCCGGGCCCCTCGCCAGATCCTGAGCGGTTCAACGGATTTGTTTCTTATTTGACGTGTCCATCACAGGTCGGTCTGTGCCCGGAGAATGTGAACCCATAATAACAATGTAGCTTTCACAGCAAATGAAGGAAATAATTGACTGATCTGGTCGCCTAAAGGAATTTACGGATCCAAATTAATGTGAAGGTGAGTTTACTCATTTTCTTTTATGATATCTCTAATGACGCTGCCATTTGGAAATTCATCAGTACGGCAAAACTTGAATATAAGGAAATTTCAATACACTTGAACTTTTCCGTTGCCTATAACGGAATGGTGAACGGATATTGCCATTTTTTCGTTTAGATGAACAGTAATCGCACGGACGATTCTGAAACTTTCGCCTCATAATCCCACCGACCATTCTGTCAGAAGAGATTAGTCCCTCCGTAGTAAAAACAAAATGTCTCTCTTTCCAAAGTCCTATAATAATTTACGATTTGGTCTGAAATTAATCATTAATGGAAGTTCTTATTCTCAGTTCTCAGGTCCCAACCAGCCGACCGCTGGCTCCTGTCGGCTGGAAAACACTGACCTTCTCAACCCTGTTCTGCACGTTCTCTGTGGACGGTCAGGTTTAATTTGTTCCATTTGTGACAGGGACCGTCTCTATGGTCTAGTGGTCAGAGGTCCTGACTGCAGATCCAGAGGGCCGGATTCGATTCCCGGCGCAACCAGATTTTCTGAGCCTTTCGGGATGGAACGAGGTCCACTCAGCCTCGTGAAGATAATTGAGGAGCTATTTCAAGGAAATAGTGGCTCCGGTCTAGAAAACCGAGATTAACGGCCGTGGGGATCCGTTGCTTTGACCACGCGACACTCTCTATCCGCAAAAGTTGACACTAACTTCGCCGTCAAGCGGCGGTCGCTCGGTCGGTATAGTTCGCTTGCAGACTACAGGCAACGGAGTTTTATTTTTTCCTTACCTCATAAATCCAAATAGGCCTGTAGTATATTATGAACAATAACAGACCTATTCAAGAGGACCTTTTCTTGTTACATGTTTGATTCTAAAGTTCTTTTCCGCCTTAACCAGTTTCCGTTCGCGGTAATTTGTATGTTCGTATCCATATTTTACTCTCCGAACTAAGAACATTTTCAGATAAGGACACGTATCCATTTGAAGAATACCGTCTTCTATGATGTGGCGCCGAGTAGACCATGTGTGAGCCGACATTTCGGAGGAACATATCGTCTCCATCTTCAGGGTAGAAAAATCCGCGAGCGAGGAATCAGTGTGTGCAGGTGGCTGCAGACTGGTTCCTCGCTCGCGGATTTTTCTACCTTGAAGTTGGAGGCGATACTTTCCTCCGAAACGTCGGTTCACACAAGATCCACACGATGCCACATCTCAGAAGATGGTATTCTTCGTAATCACCGCCGTGAAAATCTCAAATCTTACACGTATCATTTAATCGGCGTTTCGTTTTGCGTAGGTTTTATATCCGTATTCAAATGCATAAATAGCAGCTGTTTAATTAAATAACCTTATAATCAATGGATCTCTAGTGCAACGTTTGTGCCATCAGCACATGATGCACATTATTGATACTGCGTTTCTCGAAGTGACGCTGAAAGGCCATTGGTTCTGAGCTGAACGATAATTACACACACTGGTGCCTCATGAGACCAGAGCCGTGTACAGTCGAATGGAAGATACGGAGTCTAAATTCGGTCCGGTGATGATATGCTGTCCGGTCACGGTAGCCGAGCGGTCTAAGGCGTGCACTGTCTTCGCTCGCTCGGAAGCTGGGATCGTGGGTTCGAATCCCACTCAGGGCATGGATGTTTGTGTGCGTTTTTCTGTGTTTGTCTACAGGTAGAGGCCTTGCGACGAGCTGATCACTCGCCCAAGGAGTCATACCGTATGTGTAAGATCGAGAAAAACCGAAGCGAACGGAGAAGTTCATGGAGGTAGGCCTAGGCCCACTGGGGCTGTAGTGCCAAGAAAAAAAAATGATATGCTGGGCCGGTCACGGTAGCCGAGCGTTCTAAGGCATGTACTGTCTTCGCTCGCTTGGAAACCGGGATCGTCGGTTCGAATCCCACTCAGAGCATGGAAGTTTAGTTTGTGTGTGTGCGTTTTTCTGTGTTTGTCTACAGGTAGAGGCCTTGCGACGAGCTGATCACTCGCCCAAGGAGTCATACCGTATGTGTAAGATCGAGAAAAACCGAAGCGAACGGAGAAGTTCATGGAGGTAGGCCTAGGCCCACTGGGGCTGTAGTGCCAAGTAAAAAAAAATAATATGCTGGTTTTCTGCTTCTTTCTGCCTTTCGTCCTTCTGCCCTTGCTCCGTTTTGTTTAGATAATCATTTCTTTCTTGCTGCTTTTGCTTTAATCCTTCCATCGTTTATTCGTTTCTGTCCTTCCTTTCTTCTCTTTCATCCTCTATCCCTTTATGTCGAACCTATTATTTCAGCTACCTGTGTCCCTTCCGTTCCCTTTTATTCCCCCATTCCTTAATTTCATCCTTCCATCCTCGATTTTTTCCTTTTGTCTTTTCTCCCAAATTTTCCTTCTTTTTTCTTCCAGCCCCTCAGTCTTTCTTTTCCTTTCCTTCACTGACATGTACTAGTTGTATGTAGCTTGATTTCAGCATATATCACAAATTAGATTATGTTTATGATTTTGGGTTGCAGGCAAGAAACCGATCAAATTGATCTGGAATGGAATCGAGCAGGTGCTTCAAGAATGTTCAGTGCCTTACAATGCCACGAGCAGGCCAAATTTTACCAAGCACTAAAATATCCCTCCCCCTTCCCCAGAGTGCAGTAAATACTGGATAAATCATTAGATATTCTCGTTGATTAATAATTAAAAGACTGATGTTGCGTTCCAAGGTGACACAAAGTACACGTACGTGTGACGTAATATACTGCGCGAGATAGATGCGCGTTGTTCTACCCGGCGAAGCCGCACCACACACCGACCATGGAGACATCGCTCAGTCTGGTGCCTGCTTTAGAAGTAGCGGAGCACCGTGCATGTGCTAGTGACTCCTTGTGTAGGCGGATGTTGTATTAAGGCGCTAAAAGTGTCGGAAGTTTTGTATAGAAGTGGTGAGAAAATTTGTGGTTTTGCGTGTGGCGGAATAATTTTATCTGGTGTTGTAATGGCGCGCATTGCAATCGAGGCTGTCTTTCTAGCATTTTTAATGTGCCTGCTAGCTGAAAAAGGTAAGATAACCGGTAATCATTTATAGATCAGTGACCACACACCGTGGGGGTTGGTAACGCTGTATGTTAGCCGGAGAGTGAATAGAAAGGTTTCGTTTGGTCTGAAAAATAATGGCATTTGTTTTCAGCTGTTTCATATGGGCTACGGAGATGCTGTGTGTTTTCTTTGAGGCAGGGAGCGAAATTACAGACTGGAGGGATGTTACCTTTTGGGGTGATCGGTATCTTTAAGTATTATGTACTGTAGCAAAAGTTGTTCATTAGTCATTCAAGGTACATATAATCAGATCTGTAAAATTTTCGAAATGAGGCAGCGCCACAGGAAAGGACTAGGGTTAGGATTCGTACATTGAAATGCTGAAGTAATGGCCAGGAGCCATTTGCGTCCAGAAGATCTTCAGTGACATGTGTTTTCCTCGGTCGTAGGAGAAATGCTGAGTTGGTACCCTAAGTCCACATTGCACTGCATGCTTCACGTGCAACCCTTCCAGTGCCAACAAAATGTTGCCGCAGTGTAGCTCTCTCGATTTTAAATCAAAATTTCACCATAATGCACCCCACCCACCCGAACTTTGATATAAAATTTCAGATCGCCTGCAGCAAAAATGCTGTTGAGCTTCGTTTTTTGTGCACGTAACAAAGTCCACTTCATCCTCCTCGCTTGCTAACGGTTACCTTCACCAGAAATACGAGAGTGCATTGCCTGGGATTATTCAAAGCCGGGGGAATTCCCGTTTTTCTTCCTTAAAATATAGTCTTTTTCACTATCCGCACCCAACCCACACGCCTCTTCTGCATGTTCATTTTCTGTGAATTGCGACCCAGTTGCGATAGGAAACACTTATCGGATACGGTAATTTTTGCGGCTGTTCAACCGCCATTAGGTCACTGAAGAGGGCCGATATGTCCTAGACATGGAGGTAGCCATAGTCCACCATTACACTGCTGAAAGTTGACGTAGCGGCCTCATGTTGGGATCCCACCCAGTGTGAAACACGACTACGTATGTTACCGGTTATACAGAGTGCAGATGTTCTGAGTCTCCAAACGAATGCTAGACCGTATCATATGATGGGCTAAGGCCGCAAACTTTCTTACCTACTTTGTATTCGTGGTATATTCTCATCCCGTTCAATGACATGTAACCCGTGCCGCTTGAACAGTGTCGTAATATGAGATAAATCGGCCGGTTACTGACCTATGGAGGTTTAAATCATGTTGTATGTCCGAATAATGCCACTAAATGCCAAACTGCTGGCTAGGCGTTCAGTGGAGACCATAATGTGGACATTCTAGAACCAAAACAAACTTAATTAAATAAGTAAAAAAAAGGTAAAGTTATCCATGTGCTAAACTGATTAAGCACTACACTGTGAAGGCGTATGGGGGAGTGGATGTATAGATCTACATTAATTAAATTAGTAAGTATATAAATACTTCTTGTAGTTGGAACTGATATTCTGGGAGGGGAGCATCTATAGTCGACGAAATATTATCGTTTTCGGTAATTTATTAAGGAAGTGGAGGGATTAAACGAATTGCGTATGTACCAAATGACGCCGGAAGTGGGTGTTAGAGTAAAGAGAAATTGATGGCCATTTGTCCACGAAACTTTTCCCGATACATACACTCACTTCTGTAATAAACAACATAAACGTCTCGTTGATGTGGGATGGCCGATATTTAACAAATACAGCAGAGCTCAGGTTTCGAAACAACGTTGAGTTCGAGCGCGTTCTAGCGGAGACTTTGAATATTAGTTTCACCACTAAGTACTGCAATTCTATTGAAGGATTTCTAGGCGAATTCCCCCTCCCAAAATTAGGTGGCACATCCAGGATATCTCAAAACATTTGTTGATTGTTGCGAGCAGTCGCACTCCTTTCAGATGACTATCCGCTGTCTTACTAAAGCACAAGGGGGAGTTTGCCACTGTAACTATATCAAATTATGAACTCCCTGCTCAACCAAATCAAATTGATTGAAGCCAAAATTTAAGCCTATACCGCGATAACGAATTACAGGTATGAGATGTTCGCCCTGATTTGGCGTACCATAGGAACGGCCATGGTTGTAAGTTCCGTACTGATGCGTTATACACATAGAGGTCACAAGAAAAGGTGTGGGTCGCATGCAGCCCCGACGCAATAGCAGATCACCCCTGTTCTAGACTATTTACAGTATGTAAATGCAGACTACAGAATGATGTTTATTAGTTTAATAGGAAGATGTGGAGGGGAGAGACTACTTCCGAAACATCTTGTTGCCTGTAAATAACTTGGCGGGTCCCGTTCATTGTGGCATGCTCACTCTGGGTCAGCAGTTGCCGGAAGGAAGCTCTCTTGCTTGGCGGGACGGCCCGCGAAGTGACGTACAGGCAGACTTTGATCAGTGGACAGTGTTAAAATGGGGTTTCAGGAATAGAATGTGAGAATGCGGACAGGATTAATTTGGCTGATAGGATCCAGTGGTTGGCGCTTGTGAACGTGGCAGTAATCCTTATTCCACGAAAGATGAGGCATACGAGTATGCTGTCTGGCAGAATGTTTGCCTTTCACTGACACTGGTTATTGAAATGCCAGTGCGTTGGCTAAAGGAATGAAGATTATAAATTTAGAATGAAGAGAGTGCGGATGTGACGGGATAGGAATAGGCCTTACCCTAAGTGTTTGTGAGGCTCAGGGAGTCCATAATAGACTTATCTTGGCAATTAAGATGTTCCATGACAAATGACGAAAACAATTTCCATTGAAAAGAAACACAGAAGACAGTTTTTAATTGAGTTCACACATCTAAAGCATTCAGATCTTGAATGCAGTACCTACGGCAGTATGTACGATAGCCTGAATTGGCAGTACAGGGTGAGCACAAATTATCTTGATCATTTCAGAAATTTGTTACGAAGCAGTCGGACAAGATAATACTTGTACATCTGAACATTTAGATATTAAGAGTACAAGTCTCCTGGATTGTGACCACTTATAGTTCGGATGGAGCCCGAGGTTTCGGAGAAATATTTCTCCTCCATCTTCAGGGTCGAAAGATGACCCAAGCAGGAAAAGACAAAAGCAGTCAAGAAGCTGAGCTGAGAATGTTTTTGCAGAAACGATTCGGGTGAAATATTACAGGTTCGAATTCATGCAAGCCGTACAGCCGAACGTTAAGGGGAAGAGGTACACATTGCGCTTCGCGTTTTTAACGAGGCATCTGCTTACGAGACTTCTTGGCAAGTTGTGTTTAGTGATGAGGCTACGTTCCACTTGTCAGGAGAAGTTTACAGGCACAGTACCATAATTTCGGGCTCGGAACAGTCACCATAACATAGTGCAGCATAGCAGAGATGAGTCAAATGTAAATTCTATTACAAAATTAACTTTAAAGAAGCTGCCTATTCTGACAAATTTTTTTTTATTGCCAGTGGGGTGGGACTAAGTCCCTTGTACTGCGGCCACTTCTGGCCTGTTGTACCAGCCCCAGATGATAGGTGAGGGTGATTGTGGAGCAATTGGTGGAATGAAGATTGGCAGGGGAAACCGAAGTACTCGGAGAAAACCTGCCCCAGCGCCACTTTGTCCAACACAAATCCCACTTGACCAGACCCGGGATCGAACCCGAGCCTCCGCGGTGGGAAGCCAGCAACTAACCTCTTGAGCTATGGCGCGGCCCCTCTGACAAATGTTAATTACACGAGAATGGTCGTGTAAGCTTCCTTCTTGGTTATCTGCACGGACAGTTTTCGTGCTTGTACCTGGATATTCTCCGAGACGCGGCAATCAGAACATCGCCGATTCGAGCCCAAGACTTTATTTATCCCTGTAATGTAATGAACAAATGACTGTACACACGAAGTCTCTAAACGCTCGTAGAATCTTATGCAGGAGGTTTGCAGATTACCTTACCGTAGTCCAGTAAATAACACTGCATTTGTGACGTAACATTGTTGGGTACTGCTCTAGGAACCGAAACCAGTTTTCCTGGTACTTTCCTTTCGATCAGCTGAGCGGTATTGTGTGGAAGAGAACCCTCAGGGGCGCTGACGTCGTACACTCGACCGCGTGTGACCACTTCTTCACCTGAGCGGGCAGCGCACATTGGAACAAATGTTCGTTTGGTTAATGACACATTATCTACTGCAAGGGGGGGGGGGCATAGCGTCTGATTGTGAATGGTTGATTTGTGACGAATGTGAAACTATTATGCTTCTTTTATGAATGAAATGATGAATCCTCAGAATAGCATGTCCTCGGGCCAAGACTGACACCCGGTATGTCCCGAGTACAACGCAGGATTGCTGAGGGGTCCAATGAGCTTCTCCTCCCGCTGTGCCAATGAGCTGCATTTCTGTAGTTATGGGGCTCAAGGTTTACTTTGCGACTACTGGAGATGTTTGATATTCTGATAGAAATAAATGGTTCCTGTGATCTTTCAAGCATTAAACATGCCCTAGGGGCTGTTCCTTTCAGCGGAGTCAACCATTCATGTTCTCCATTCCTTTCCTGAATAGCGGTGTGTTGTAATTAGCTTCTTTTGTTAAAATGTAGCCATAGCAATTCGTAGTTTATTCGCTGTGTAAGGGTTTTAAATTTCATTCCTTTATAATGTATATATAAATATGTATATATATTTCACATAATGTTATTATTGCATGTTGAAACTGATGAAATCACAATTACTAAAGAGGAGAACAAAATGTCAGCTGGACTGTGAGCAAGGCTCATGAAGCAACTGTTGGAGGTTTTGAGAGAAACATTTTAAGGATAATCTACGTTATAATAAGGAAGTTTACTTAATGATATAGAAGTAAAGAAATTAAGTAAAGGTATCACTGTAACAGTCCATGGAGGCCCATAGGGTTGTGAGATGTTGAGGTTCCCATTTTTTCTAGACAGTCGGCTCACAGATGGCGTTGAGGTTGTCAGCCTTACGCGCAGGCCGCCCTTTACCCCAAGAATATTGCTGGTACTCATTTCTGTTAGAGGCTGAGTCGACCCCAGGGCCAT